ATAGGTCAAGAAGAAGACAGAAAATGTGTACAAGATGGTTTGTTACTGGCATTAAAAGCTATACATTTGTTACTTTTTTTCCAGGACGTTTTTACATTTTTTACCTTGTTTTACTCGAATATTAACTAAGAACTATGCCAACTTTAATTTTTTTTTATTATGACATTATGTGTGTCTTTTGTTGTTGTTAAACACAAAAGCTACACAAATGGCTACTGTTGGTTACTTATTATTCGCGTGGAATTAACTTTCGCTATTTTCGCGAACGATAGTTCCAGCAATATAAAAAGCCTTTATGAGTGATAAATGAAACCCAAACAGATATTTACAAGCAAATATTATTTACTGTTTAGTTCGTTGTTTGATATTGTTAAAAAAAAATTGAAAGTAGTTTTATACGCGCCAAGCCATTTGAGTAACTTGTAATCCGGAAAGAGCAAACAATAAGTTAAGTGCCTGCAGCGCCGCCTGCCGTAACACGTCTAGACAAGTTCAATGCTTTCAATAGGTGGATTACCAATACGTCAGTTCAGTTGCACAGCGTGATTGCAATGGCTTATAGTTTGAAAAAATGTTGCTTAGAAAAACAGAATGATGCCTAAAAAAGTTTTTTAAATTTATGTAATGGAAAATGGGTGCATTATCAACTTCATTTTTCGGCGAAATTTAAAACCCGCGAAACAAGTTTCACTGTAAAACCGCGAAAAATAATTTCCGCGCATATTAAGTAAACTACAGTATCTATGCTGTGACCACCTAATAGTATCGGAGCCCGATTTTTAGCGTTAAAAACCGCCAGTGATCTTTAAGGTTTTTATAGTGTCGAATCCAGACCTTTCCACCGGGGGGGGGGGGGGGGGGGTTGAAGTTGGAGGAATGAATTAGAATTAAAATTCGACAAAATGGAAAATATTGTACTTCAGAGGGGGACTTTGCACAGGGGGGAATTCTCCCCTAAATTCAACATTGAATACAAAGGTGACATTTTCTATTACAGGAAGTTCTCTCGCGTTACGGTTACCTCCGCTGTGGATCACGAGAGAAACGGGATGTTGTGTTTCGGTTTGGAGAGGTGAGCGAAGCTCTTGCCGAAGAAACTCATTCGAGCCAGACCTGCTCAGAGACGGATATCGAGGAAGCTATCCGGCGTTATCAACGGACATACAACATGCCGGAAACGGGTCGTTTAGACGCAGAAACGATGCGGGTTATGAGCGAATCTCGCTGTGGCAATGCTGACGACGAGTCGGCGGCCGTCCCTTTTAAGTCGCTGGACATTCGGAAAGATCTCTGTAAGTATAATTTTCGAAGGAGATTTTTTTACGGTTACCATAGTTTTATTTTTTTATAATTTTATTCAGCAAGAGACAAATAACAGTAATATATAATATATACTTTCATATAAAATCAATAAGTGAAATTTGTGTGTTCAGCGTCAGTTAAAATCATATAATTATCTAAAAATAATTACCCATTCGTCATTTCAATCTCATGATTTCAAATATAATAAATATATGAGAATTGATTAATTAAATATATAATTTCCGTTAATTTGTTTAGATTCTATACTCACGCCACCTATTAGCCGAAACAAAAGAGAGATTGTACAAGATTCGAGTTTGCGGGACCAGATTCTTGATGAAATAGGTTTAGCTCCACAAGCCGAACCCCAAGCTCTCATCCCGACAGCCCCTGGAACTACGGTCTCCAGAAGACGACGATGGTTGAAAAAATACATAAAACAAATAGAAAATGGTGAACTGGACAGGAAAGAAGATGAAGACTTTCAAAAAAATATTCAACAGCGGAGAAGAAAAAAACGATCAACTGTGACAGGTTTAAAAAATCAAGCTTTTACAACGGTTGGTACTATCGATAAAATTAACGATAAAAATGTCTGAGAAGCTAGAGCGGTACGTAAACATCCAGCTTTAGGCCTCCAATGTTATACATGTGTTTTTTGTTTTGTTTTTTACATTTATAAAGATGTTCAGTTGTTGATCGTTAACTTCTCTTTCATGAGAAGCCCTTAGTAGGAGAGTAGTGATAGGGTTAAGATAAATCAAAATTAACTTTTCACTGTCTGGTTGAATTATTAAAGTTTGTTTGTTTGTAATTAAGCACAAAGCTACACAATTG